AGGCCGCTGTCCAGCAGCCCCGGTGCCTGCAGAACCCGTGGGGCCATGCCAACGTCATCCAGCAGCCCCGGTGCCGGCCCAGGCCCGTCTGGTCTGGGAGGGGTTCCCCTCTGACCCTTCTCGCCTCCTGGGAACATGAGCGGGTTGGTGGGTGGGGGGTGGTGAGGGTGCTCAGACGAGAGCTCCCCGTGGGAGGCAGGGGAAGGAGGTCACTCTCCAGCACCCGGGGCTCATCTGTGGGGACCCGTGACCCTCAGCCGACTCCTCCAGGGATCAGGAATCACCCACCAGAGCAGACCCAGGTGGACAGAGCCTCCCTCCCCCAAAGACTCCGCTTCTAGGTGGCGGTAAGGGGGCAGGTCCCCAGCCCCAGGCAGTGTTGGGGAGCAGGCAGAGAAATGGGGGGCGGGGCGCGGGTCTCTTCGGCTCCAGGTGCAGGGAAACCGGTCCCTCGCCTGCCCTTGGTAACATCAGGCAGCCGGCCCCTGGCAGCGGGCAGGCCTCTGGGAAAGGGACCAAGCAAGACACGGGCCAGGACGGGCGGGGGCGGGGGCGCAGAGCACTACAGACAAGTGGACGAGGGGCCACAGACAGACGGGACGGCTTACTTTTGAGAGGCGCCTGTGAGACTAAGGCCGTGCATGCAAAGAAGGGGTGCGGCGAGGGGGGAAGAGGAAGAACAAGAAGTCAAAAGCAGCTTCAGGTCCAGGCCGTTCCGTTCCTCCCGGACCCCAGAGCCCCCCCAGGCCTGCGAGCCCAGTGGGGAGGGGCATCTAGACACACACCTCCTGCTCCCCAGGGCTGAGGGGCAGGGACTCTGGGCCCCAGGAGCAGCCCAGTCCTCAGGCACAGGCTGGTGCTCACGGTGGTGCCCACACCTGGGAGGGAGGGGGGGTGCCTGTCCCATCTTCCCGGACAGATGAGCATCAAACGGATGTCACCAAAGGGAGACAATGTGAGGCCAGGGCGGAGGCTGCAAACAGCATGAGTGTCAACCCATGAACAGGAGGTCAGGGTTCGATTCCCGGTCAGGGCACATGCCCGGGTTGCGGGCTCAATTCCCAGTGTGGGGCCTGCAGGAGGCAGCCGATCCATGATTCTCTATCATTGATGTTTCTATCTCTTTCTCTCTCTCTCCCTTCCTCTCTGAAATTTAAAAAAAAAAAAAAGCTAAACACAGACCCGTCCTGACTCCCGGAGCCCCCCTACTCCAAGCCTCCAGGTGTGCGAGGCCCCCTAGCCCCTCCATGGGGTGGTGACCAGCCCCGGCTTTCCCTGAGCGCTCAGCGGAGAAGAGGGCTGTAAGGAGGGCTCCCTGCCTGCCCCACCCTCACCCACTGAGCCAGGGCTCTCTCAGGACACTAGGGTCCCTCAGGAAGGGGTGATCACCTCCCGTCCCCAACACCATGCTCCCCCACATCGGCTGACAAGCAAGTGACGTCCAGGACAGGGACCCCGGGCTCACCTTGGAGTTCTTGCCGCCTCCACTCCGGCCGGACTGCGAGGAGCAGCTGCGCTGCACGCCCTGCTCAGGCGTGGAGGGGGACTTGTCCGAGGAGTGGTCGGAGCCCTTCTCCACCATGGCGTCCGCGTCCGGGCTCTGGGGGGTGGGCGAGCGGGACCGCTTCCGGAGGACAGGGGAGCAGGCCGGCGAGCTGCGGTTGGAGTTACTGGC